CACCTGACGGCTGCGTTGCCTTCTGCTGCTGCTGTTTGCGGCGACGCGCCGCTGCTGCAGGCAGCAGCAGCAACAACGAGGCGCAGGCTGCTGCGCTCCAGCTGCAGCAGCAGCAACACGAGCAGCAGCAGCAACAGGAGAAGCACCAGCTTGGAGCTGGCAGAGGCTCAGCACGTCGCTTGCTGCTGGGTAGCTCTCTCGCGGCTGCTGCTGTCGCTGCAGCAGATTCTCGATGTTGCTGCTGCTGCAGTGTATCCCCAGCTGTCGGTCGAGGAGGCTCGCTGCCTGCTCGACTACCGCAGCAGCATTAGCAGCAGCATTAGCAGCAGCAGCAGCTGCAGCAAGAGCGAGAGCATTAGCAGCAACAGCAGCTGCAACGCCCCTTCCGCCTTTTTGTCTCCACAAGGCTTCTCAGCTCTCCAGTGCGCAATCATGCCTGACACTGCTGCAGCAGCAGCGGCATCAGATGCTGCTTCGTTGCTCGAAGCAGCAGCAGCAGCAGCAGCAGCAGCCGTGCCTGCTGCCGCCGTAGCCGAGTCGCAGGCTGCAGAGTCGCAGCAGCACTTGCAGCGGGTCCAGCAGGAGCAGCAACTCGCTCATGTTGCTGCTGCTGCAGCTGCTGCTGCTGTTAAAGCAAAAACTAGATTTGAGCTTCTTCTCCTCGAGACAGCAGCAGCAACAGCAGCAGGATTTCCCATTAGACCTCCTCCCCCGCTGCTGCTTCTGCTGCAGCAATCCCTTGCTACTTTGCTGCAGCTGCGCAGCGCACTGACAGAAGATGTGCTATGCCGGTCGTCTGCTGCAGCTGCAGCAGCAGACAGCAGCAGCGGCAACAGGGGAGCAGCAGCAAGTGCAGCACTAATGTTGCGGGGCTCCTATGCAGGAGACTCCCGCGTTGCAGCAGCTTGGGCGCGTGCTGCAGCAGCAGCAAACAGCTGCGAGGCCCCTGCAGCAGCTGTGCATGCAGCGTTGCTTCTGGTGGAGAAACATTTGGTGGGGTGTCGCCGTGAGATAGAGGAAGCAACGGCGGCAGCAGCAGCAGCAGCAGCAGCAGCACCTGGTTGTGTCCCAGCCACACACCTGCAGCAGCTTGCTGCTGTTGCTGCCCTCCTCCACGCACTCAGCGCCTGCTGCTCGCGTCCTCCAGCGACGCTCCACTCTTTGCTGCCCGGCATTAGG